GTGTGTGTGTGTGTGTGTGTGTGTGTGTGTGTGTGTGTGTGGTGTGCGCGCGCGTACGAGTATGCATGCTTGTGCACGTGCACAGGAGTTAAGTGTATATTCTCTATTCTGTGTCGCAGAAGCTCGAAAAAAGCACTGTCAGTTTATTCCAAAGGAGGATCAGTAACTTGCATTGTATGGTATCTGATACAAGCGTTTGAAGTGTAGTGGTTAAGTACATCGCTGTCTCAAGCAGGTGACCCGTGTTCGATTTCCGAATGGGGAGGAATTTATATCGAGTATCTGGGTTTTTCTTCGGAATGTAGCATCCCTCTCTCAGCCCGTGTTGGCCTTGACGCGCAGGGTCGGAAGCCCGCCTCCCAAATGGTCTAAATTATGTTGGTGGGGCGTAAAAACACTGACATTTTAGAGTGAAATATTAAAATATATTTTGGCATCGTACCTCATCGTTGCAACGTGTCTTATCTCTTATATTTTGTTTTGCCTTGTTTTGTCTTGTCTCATCTTGTCTCATCTGATCTGACCTTATCTTATCCTATCTTATCGTATCTTATTAAAGACCAAAACTTCCCTTTTCTGTTTCAGAGCCCGCTCACATCATCGGTCAGCTCTCTTCAGCCCTCAGCGTCATGGTACGAGAGGGAGAGACCATTGAGCTGGTCTGCAACGTCACAGGCTTCCCCACCCCCACAGTCACGTGGTACAGGATTCACGCCGGCCTCAGCAAGGAGGAGAGAGGCGGCGCCAGCGGGAAAGAGCGTGAGTCATACTGTGTATCCCGTCGGTCGCGGTGGAATCAGGCGTTCGTCTGGTTTTTTGGTGTATGGAATTATTGGTCCCATCTTATTCGTTTATCTTACTGTTGGTTGTTTAAATTCCCATCGATCTTGAATAGAAGTCGAGATATTTGCGCTTGGAGGAGCGAGGGGTCGTCTCGTGTCAATGATAAAATTAGCGTGAAAATGGCTGCCAAAGTTTACTGACTTCCAAAGCATGAGTTTCCTTGAAAGATGCAAATTTTCACTTTTCTGTCCCTTTGATCAAAGTTTTTCTTCAAAACCTCACAGAAATGTGTTTTAAATGGACTTAAAAGATGTGGGCTAAAAAAAATACATGTAAATGGGTAGAAATTGCCCAACGAGAAGAAAATGCCATTTCTAGGAATTCACTATTTGACGAGCGCCTGATTTCACCACGATCCCGCACATATTACTTGTTGCTTTACGTCATTGTTGTTTTCTTGACTGAGACTTACTTTGGAAAAAAAAGCTATGGAGGCGTAATCTAGAATCTAGCTAGAGCTTTTGGTGCACGCTTTGTCATACAGATTGGACGAAAGCTGGAGGCGAGGGACGGGGGTTGGGGATGGGAGGGGTGTGGAGTGTTACGCGGGGACGGAGTCTTTTATCTCCTTTGTGTAACTTTAGTTGATGGTCATTCTTTTTGTCTCTCCTTTGTTGTTGTATTTTTTTTTTGTTGTTGTTGGGGGGGGGGGGGGGTGTTGTTGTTGCTGTTTTTAATGTGCGTAATCCCCCCTCCCCAATAATAATAGAATAAATAAATAAATAAATGAATAAATAGATCAAGAAAGAAAGAAAAAAAGAAAGAAAGAAAAAAAGAAAGAAAGAAAGAAAGAAAGAAAGAAAGAAAGAAAAGTTCAAAGGAGAGGCCCGAAAGAAGATAGCACGATGATATAAGAGAGCGGATGAGTCCCTCCTGGACACGGAAAACAGCTGATAAAACAGAATGGAGGTCGTTGTTTCCTGGCTTCATCCGACGGTGGACGGACAATGCCTGCAAAGAAAGAAAAAAAGAAAAAAAGAAAGAAAGAAAGAAAGAAAGAAAAGAAAAGAAAGAAAGAAGAAAGAAACGAAAGAAAGAAAGAAGGAAAGAAATGAATAATTTTTTGCGCCCCCATTAACACAATTTAGATCATTTAAGAGGCGGGCTTCAGTTCTGCCTGCCAGGGACAAACCGGACTGGGAAGTATACACCATGCCAGCAGAAAGACCGAGGCACTCAATATAAGTTCTCTTCACTCAGGAATCAAACCCAGGTCTCTTGCGCGCGGTGGGGAAAGCGCCTAACCGCATCACCACAGATGCTGGCACTGGTGTCCTTCAAGAGTTGTTCTATTTCCTTTTGGCGTTAATGTCATTCGAATGTTCATCTGACAAAAAGGTGTGTGTCATATGCTGACTGTGAGCTAACTACCAATAAACTTGTCCCATTTCTCTAATACTGGTATTGGTGATGATGGAGATGTTATGTATGTTATCAGAGTAGGTCCTATGAGACGTTACGTTTGGATGAAACGCCCATTTTTTAAGTGAAACGTTACTTCAAAGACGGAACCTCAGAATTTCGTATTGAACTCAGACAAGCAAACCAACATGATGAAGAACCGCAAAAGTTCTCCGATCTCCCCTTGTTTAAGTATACGCTGTTTTGTTTGTGTGTGTTTGTTTTTTGTGTTGTTGTTTTTTGTTTGCTTGTTTGTTTGTTTGTTTGTTTTGTTTGTTTGAGTTGTTTGCTTGTTTTTGTTGTCTTTGCTGTCTATTATTTTTGTTACTGGTTCAGTTGTTGTTTCTGTTGTTTTAGCCCTAGCTCTAGCCCTAACCCTAACCAATTGACACAGCACAGATAGAACCGTGGTCAATTAGGTAGACTATCATGTGAACTGGCCTCGAAAAAAAAACCCAACGTATTTTGCCTTTCCAGAGATCGGTATGGAGGGAGAGGTGTTGGTCATCCACAACGTGTCTCGTTACTGTGACGACAGGTACCAGTGTCTGGCATTCAACGGCGTCCCCCCGGCAGACAGCAGGGAGATACGTGTACACGTGCAGTGTGAGTGAAGGTTGCTTTGATCTGGGAACCACCGCTTTTACATTTCTAACGCTATCTTTCTTACCCTCTCTGTCTGTCTCTGTTTCTGTCGCTCGGTCTCTCTCTCTCTCTCTCTCTCTCTCTCTCTCTCTCTCTCTCTCTCTCTCTCTCTCTCTCTCTCTCTCTCTCTCTCTCGAAATCCGTAAAATTGCCCATTTTGTCGAGGCTTTTGTCTCTGCTCCACCAGTGTACTGCGAGAAGTCAAGTTTCTTCAAATCTTCGTATGTTTCATTAAAAGTGCTGATTATCAAAACAATTATAATAACACTGATAATCAATGTATAACCTTTTATCTCTCGTGATTATAGTTCTTTCTTAAATATATAATCTTTCGAATAAGAAGCGAGCTTTTTAATTTACACTTTACGTGAACTGACATTCTGAAGCTATTTTTATGAAGTATTTCAAAGTCAAATTGTGCACAGTGTAAACTCAGCTTGCAGTGTGCTTTTGTTTATGCTGCTTTACAGACCTCGACCCTCACAAATCTCTTAAAATATAACAGCATGAATAGATCCGGCCAAAGTTTGTAAATTCTGCTCCTCATTCAAAATTCAAAGCATCTGCTGTGCCTGCGGTGCAATTTAATTCAGTTAATTCAGAACTCAACCTTGGATGAAAGCTCTTACCAACATTTTTTTTACTTAGAACATAGCCCATTAGATGAACATTTTGCAAAAAAAATGTATGTAGTTGAATCACACAATTTAGATCGTTTAGAAGAATAATAAATCATGTCACGAGTTGTAGTAAAACGTGGCTTCAGTTGGATAGATTAGAAAATGATGATAACTCGCACGCAATCCGAGTCAAAATGTTATGGGGGTTTGGGGGGGAGGGGGTGAGTGGAGGAGGGGAGGGGAGGGGAGGAAGCAAAAAAGGAGGGAGTGGTGGTTGTGTTTCTATTGTGACGTCACCGAATGTGAGAAAGGAGGGTGGTCATGTCGTAAGAACGACCATACTTTCTCGTCAACAGTCCCGCCGGAAGTACGGCTGCCCAATAAAAAGATCGGGCAAATCCGGGGTCGTTCGACTATCCTCGAGTGTCAAATCACAGCCTACCCGCACAGCCTGAACAAATGGCGACGGAACGGAGAGGATATCATTCGAGGATCCAAGTATTCCACAGAGCTGTACAATGAGGGTGCCAATAAAGTGACCCTCAGTCTCAAAGTGCAGTCCCTCACGGCAGAGGACTACGGCGAGTACGAGTGTGTCTCGGAAAACGCACTCGGCAGAGACTCTCAGTCTATGCTGCTGTATGGTAGGTACTGAGCGTATGCTGGTGTTTTCGTCATCATTATTATCATCGTTGTCGTCGTCGTCTTCTTCATCATCATCATCATCATCATCATCATCAGCATCATCATCATCATCATCATCATCATCATCATCATCAGCATCATCATCAGCAGCATCATCATCGTCATCATCAGAGAGAAAGGGAGACAACGGATGGGAGGAGTGAGAGGGGGGGGAGGGGTGACAGAGAGAGAAAGAGAAGAGAAGAATCTGGGGGCGGGGGGTGTGACGGAGAGAAAGGGTAGATACAGGGTGAGGCTAGAGAAATGGAAATAGCGTGGGTGTGGTGGAAGACAGACAGACAGATAGACAGACAGACAGACAGACAGACAGACAGACAGACAGACAGACAGACAGACAGACAGACAGACAGACAGACAGACAGACAGACAGACAGA